CAAAAATCAGAGTTATTTATTATCTAGTACACTGTTTCTCAACCTTTTTTATAAAGTACCCCTTTAAAAAAAAAAAAAGGTACCGCCATTACGTACAGTTTTCAGACACACAGCATTTTTTGTCTACCATTGCAACACATCTGTTTAAACAACTTAACAGGCAGGCAATGACATTTTTGGGTGTAAAAAGTACAAAAATAATAAAGCACTGTAAAACTTAAAACAAAAATGCAGCTTTCTCCAAATTTTAGTTGTGTTGACGTACCCCCAGACTTCTCTTGAGTACCCCTAAGGGTACTTGTACCACTAGTTGAGAAACACTGATCTAGTATATTCCAGGATCCCAATGGAAATGTAGGTCCTGAAAGCTTTGATGCAAATTTTTGAATGAACCTCTGTCTAAAACTACTGAACAATGAGTTGCATCTACTACAGTATTCTTTAAATAGAATGGTTGATCAAAACTCCAGTTAGAAATTCTTTTAGTTGTTCAGGGCTAAACTATAGCTGAGCTACACCTGGATGACTTTATTTATCTGGTGATATTGCAACTTTTTTTAATGTCCGAATCAGTGGACTTGCATTGTAGTGTGGAGGGTTAGTGGAACTCTGGTTAGCAGACCCTGGTTTGTAACTTCAAGTTGGAATTATTGAATTCTTGGACTCCAATATCTCCACTGAATAAAGCAGGCCCAAGTCCAACCACCCAAATCCCGGATTTTGTAGCACCCTCACAAAATGTGGCTGCTTTAGCCTGTGTATGATACAACTTTGGGGAACTTCCCTACCCACCAAATTTGATTGTCTAGAGCAGGGGTCGGCAACCTTTTCGAACCAGAGCACCAAACTACATCAAAAATCAGAACAAGTGGTCAACAAAAGAAAATATACAATGTAATATTATTGATAATTGACCTAATCGTTAATAGCATAAATTAAACATTGTACTCATAGACTTTATTTAATGGGACTTCTGCAGCGGCATCTTTTCACACATTTCTTTGTTCATGCACTCAGGCTGTCTTCTGTCAATATTATGTCAGGAGGCTGGTGATGTGGGGGTGCAGAAGACTGGGTTAGTGTGTACAAAGGCCTGAGGGCAGGAGATTGAGTGTATGATGGACTCAGGGCACAAGGTTGGGATGTGTGGAGGTACAGGAGTGTTATGGCAAGGGACTGGGGATGTGGAGATATGGGGAGGTTCAGGTTAGGGATGTTAAATATAGGTTAATTGAATAGTTGAGTAACCTCATGAATTCTTATTGGTTAAAGTTGACTACAGGCAGTCCCCGGGTTACGTACAAGATAGGGACTGTAGGTTTGTTCTTAAGTTGAATCTGTACGTAAGTCGGAACTGGCATCCAGATTCAGCCGCTGCTGAAACTGACCAGCGGCTGACTACAGGAAGCCCGAGGC